CCCCACACACACACACACACACACACACACACTCGTGAATCTATGGGTTGAATTAGTATTTGCAGATACATTCTATTTTTTTCAAAAAGGACACAATTTATAGACAGTCAGTCAATGTGACGTTTTATAAATTCCTACTTTAGAAATAAAACCAGTCTGAATCCAAACCAAAACACAAACAGACTCTAAACAAGGCCTCACACCTAACATGCATTGTCTGACCTAAAATGTCAACTCTTCTTTACAATGATAAAACCTTCAGTTCTCTCAGGGCAGTGACTTGAAAGGAATTTGGTCATTTACATATACATATCAATTAATTAAAACCTTCCAATTGATTAAAGATTTAACAGCATCTTATGTTTGTTTAATACATCCTCATCAATGGTCTGACCCTTTGATCTTTTACTTATAAACTCTGTGTCTGATACCACCTCTCTCACTTACACCTAATGAAGCGGCTACACTCCGAAAGCTTGTGTTTTCAAATAAACCTGTTGGACAATAACCTGGCGTCGTGCGATTTCTGACCTTGTTTTAAGTTAGCAGACAGCTTATATTTTCTGTGGAATGGTGTATCCTTCATACATTACAGTTGGTTTCTTTTCATTTGACAGACTCTTGCAGTAATTCATCATGCTGTTACCTAGGGCACCCCCCTGTAAAAGGTCCACCTTCAATCTCACTAAAGCTGTGGTCTGGAGCAGCTGGAGTGGCCATAATCTCTTTCAGGGCAGTAGGCCAGGGCTGTGTTCAGCAGCGTGTCGTTCAAGGAATGGAACACAAAATCCATTTGAAGTGACTCAGTGATTTAGTTGAATAGATGTGTCAGAGCCGCTGTCCCTTAGCAGCTCCCCTCCAGTTAACTGTATCAATCCTGCAACAGCTCAAGAAGGCAGCTCACCATCACCTCCACAAGGGGCAACCAGGCATGGGCAATGAAGTAGGAATGGCCCGAACGGCATCAGGCAAGATTTTATAGGAGTCTGAGTGATGTGGGATACAGTGAGATTTGTAGCAGGGTCAGTCAAGAACTCCAGTGAGACCCATCTCAACGCTGAGATTCTCTCACTCCATCTTTTCCGCTTTTTACAATAACCGGACGAGATTCTCACAGGGCAGTGGTGAGCTGCCAATTGCCTTTACTGATTGTTAAACACCTTGTTAATAAGCCCCCAACTCACCTCATTAATCATCAAACTCCCATCTTGCTAAACTCTACAAACAATCCCACAGTCAGGAAATCACAACATGGCAGTCAGAGTGTGTAGCTGGCAGGTTCAGCTCACCACTTGCTCTGAACCATCTCCAATGGCAGATACTGGGCACCAACGTCTCAGGGCATACTCCATGGACACTGGTCACACATACCCAACATCTACAGACATTAGCATCCAGCCAGTGCAGAAAAGACTTTCAATGATGTTGCCAGGATTAGAGGGTTTGAGCTATAGGGAGAGGCTGAATAGGGTAGGGTTATTTTCCCTGGAGCATTGGAGGCTAAGGTGTGACCTTATAGAAGATTATAAAATCATGAGGGGCATGGGAAATACTTGGTAGAGGTATTCTTCTTCGTTTTGGCGTAGTTCCGGGTTGCTGCAGTGTGTTGTCTCTCATTTAAATAGTGTTTTTACACAACTCCATTTGTGGGTGTTGGGTGGTTGCTGTTGAAATTCAGGACTTGATCCACGTGTGTGGCCTTTCTGTGTACCTTTGTACGTCAATCGATGTGAATGGTGCAGTCATGTCAAATGATACCATGGTCTCGTCGTCATCTATTCTGTCATCTTTAAGGCCTGTACCAAGTATTTAAGGACAATGGATACCCGAACAGCTGGCTCCAACGATGCCTATCACACAAACAGCAGGAAGATACAATATGCCATGACACACTCGACACGTTACCATGCATCAAGAACATATCCGAGCTGACCACAAGAATCCTACGACCATTGGGCATCAGAGTGGCACACAAACCTACATCAACCCTACGCCAACTCCTAACTCGAAGCAAAGACCCCTTATCCACTATGGACAGAACCAACGTGATATACAAGATCCCAGGCAAAGACTGCAACAAACATTACATTGGACAGACAGGAAGGAAACTGGCCACAAGAATACATGAACACCAACTAGCCTCAAAAAGACATGACCAGTGCTCACTCGTCTCCATTCACACAGATAAGGAGAACCATCAGCTCAATTGAGGCAACATCAAGATTCTAGGAAGGCCAAACAGAGACAAGCACGGGAATTTCTAGAGGCTTGGTTCTCCACCAAGCCATCAATAAACATATAGAATTAGACCCTATAAATACACCATTGCGAAGAAAAACCAGAAATGAGGTAACCAATTCCAACGGACCCCAGAGTTTAAAAACCAGGCGGGAAAACACAACAGAGCTTCATTGGAGGCTGCACTGATGATGTTACCCAGCAGGGAAATGAAACGTCTGTGAACTAACGAACCAGCTCGGCGAGCCAACTAACCGCAGCACTAAGAGAACACTTCTGCATCTCGGCTGCACTGAAACTTACTGTAATGCTGCAGAAAGGACACTGTGTGCTCGGGGGACACATCCAACTCGTGGTCTGGGCCAAGCGACAGCTTAGGCTCTTCACACATTATCCCAGCATTCATTTACTCTGAGCCTACCTTGCCTTGCCTTGCTTTGTGTTGTTTGCCTCCTAGACCAGAGCTACCAGGCTCATATAACTTCAGTCTTGAGGAGCCAAATGATGGGCTGAGGGAGTCTATCTTTGCCCTCCTGGGGCTGTTTTGCTCCTGGAATCACAAGGAGGCGGGTATTACAGGAGCTGAAAATGGTTGGACCCCCCACCGCTGTCATTTTCCATGTTGGTGGGGAGGTGCCCTGACCAAGTGTCTGGGCAGCACAGAGGGTTTGCAGAGTGTCGGGGGGAGGCATTGGTGTGGCTGAGTGATGAAGATGTTGCAGGTGATAGTGAGAGTGGCAGAGCACAGATGCTGGTGGGAGATGGATGTAGTAGCAGAGATGGAATGAGTGTGACGTATAGGAGCAAAGAATGTGGCACTTGCCCTGCCCAAGTGGATTGGACACTGACTTTCTTGCTGGGTATTCTTCTAGAGCTGAAACTGCTAATGACCTGGGAGGCAACCTGGGACCAGGCAGGCATGGTCTGGAGTCCTGGCCCTTGGGGAAGATGAAGCTGGAGAACCAGGTCGTTGGGCTATAAACCAAGGCACCGATCTCCCCCTGTTTGCTCTGTCCCAGGGGAAATGTCAGGAACCAGGCAGGGCGGCTCCAGGCTGATGGCGTGCATGTAAAGGATGCTGG